TGGACGAAAGTCAACACAATAGAATCCACTTGGGAATAAGAATGATGCAATAAGCACATGTTTTGGCATCTTTTGTGTTTCTATTGAAATTGACTTGAACAACACCAATAATTGTTTTGCTCATTAACATGTTATGCCCGCCAATGAAATACGGTTATTTTCGRTCCTTTTGTGTTTGCTTTCTCGGCAGTAAGTTTTGTAAAAAGCATATAAAATAAAGCTAACATGGCTGTCACTTCACCACTCTACACTTACAAACTTAGAGCAACAGTACTTCTAGAAAGCGAATCAACAAGAATCAATCAATCAACTAATCATGTCTCWCAGAATGGCTTACAAAGTTCCAAAATATGGCCTTTTTTATTTTGAGTCTGATAAAACAATCAGCATTGTTCCAACTAAGAACATCAAAACTGTTTTGTCTGGCGACAAAGTAACATCAGGAAGCCTTATGGAGTTAAATTATGCTGGTGTCAATCTAAAAGCGGAACTTATTTCTGTAAATGGTAAGCAACCTTAAGTTAATTACTATTTCAATTTCACTCACTGATATATTGGGTAAARWGTGTGTTCGATATTCACTCATATCACGCTAACCACTAACCATCGCTAACCTAATTTAACTTGCGTTACCTTACTTACCAGATGACCAAACTTTTTTACACCAAGAAGAAGTAAAGTTTGTCAGCGATCCGGCAAATGCTCATCTTTTTCCCAAAGATGACCAGGAACCACAACCAACTGAACGTGTAAGTTACATTTCATGATATAAATGTTTGCCAAAAAATTTGATTTGAAAGCAAATAGCGTRAAACTGTTGTTTTCAAGGTTTCGATTGCTTGATTTATAACATTGTCAGGTCTAATGTTTACTATGACATCTAACAAATTGCAATGGCATATATCTACTTCTTTCCGGCATTACGCCAAGTTTAATCTCATTCCATACTTAGACTAATCCTGAATTTTCAACCCAGGAAACCACAAAAAAGAGAAAGCAATCTCAAGACTGCCCTAAGAAGGACAAAAGGCCGGCCAAGGCACAGAAAAAGTCTAAGTCTGTTGAAAAAGAGAGAAAGCAGGTTAGTACTTTGTCTTTATCTCTTTGATTCACTTCGAGTGCTTTAGATTAGAAGTTTGAAAACGAAGTTTATATCAGTATTACAATGTATACATTAACTTTTCTAAATAGTCAAAAAAAGAGCAACAAAATAAATAATTAATGATTTTATTTTTTCAGGCAATTGTCATTGCTACTTATAGCCCTGGTGTRCCGTCAGCATCAAGTGATGAAGAAGAACCAGAACCAGAACCAGAACCTGAACGACCCGTACCAGCTCCCTCCACAMCTGCGACACCACAACAYCAGCAGCCTTATCGTAGACTAAGCTTTAGTCCTAGATATTCCGCCATTTCCCYGTGTTCTTCACTGTGTAGTTCGATCTRTCAGCCTTCTATATCTACGCTTGATGCCACCTATTCTCACCATTCATCGCCACTCCTAAGAGGACCAGAATCACTCCGCGACATACTTCTTCGAATAGAGCATAAACTAGATGTCCTATTACAACAGCCTCCTCCAGCTCCAACTGCTCCTTATCAGACGCCAACGCCTGTTATCTCTACGCCTGCCTCGACTGTAACTTTGCCAACTCCTGATCCYGCCACTGTCACTACACCTTCACCAGATCAACTAGCCAGCAGTCTCCCGATGAACCGAGAAGCGTCTGCAAACCTCCGGATTATTTCGACATCTCACTGTAACTTTGCTGTTAATTTGTTACGGAAATATTTTACGCCAGATGAACTGATCAATAAGAACATCGCCGGTGTACGTGGAAAGGGCAAAGTAGATCCAGAAAGGGTTTCCCAAATTATAACAACAGTCTACGATTATTATCCGACTCCTCCAGCACAGAAAGAAGCAGTCTGGCGAGAATGCCGAAAGTCTATGGACGCATACTTGAGAAGACTTAATAATATAAGTAAAAGAATAAAGTAATTTTAGTTTACCAATACTGTATTTCTATCAATTTGTCTATAAAGTTACTAGTAATGTGCATTAAAAACATTTATCTATGAACTTGAGCTTGTGTAGTCTTTTTAATTTATCTCTTAATACACAACTAGTCTTTCAGCGTGACTTGTTGCATGACACTTCGTCATGGTTGGTTTCTAATTGGAAATTTGCATATCAGCATTTTCAGAGCGTGTTAACTCTTTGCCGTTTATAATTCAAAGTTTTCCCTNATTTTAACACGTAAATGTTTACACTGGTGTTTGCGAACACAGACATGATATGTTTGCGAACACGAGATGTTCGCGAACAGTTTGTTCACGAACAGTTTGTTCGCGAAAATTTCGCGAACAGATCGTGAACAAAGCGCGAACAGAACGTGTTCAGTGTTCGCATTTTGTTCGCGAAATGCACGCGAACAAAGATACATGTGATTCTAGGCGGTACTGTATACATATCCACACCACCCTATATTTAGTTTTTTCTGAAGGGTTATTCAGGATAKGCAATTTTTTCTTAGGGGTGCATGGCAAAAGTAGCATTTTTCTGAAGGGTTGTTTAGTAAAAAGTCGATTTTTCTTTTYTTATTGTCTTTTTTGAATGCTTTTTAGTAAAAGACCATTTTTCTGATAGATAACATCGGCCATCATGTTCTTCATTTTCGAAAATCATAGWTTTCTTAATGGCTGAAGCATCTACAGCCTTTTTGCCATATATCAGGGTAAACTCATTTTCTGGTTTTAATGACATTAACTATTAATTATGAGATGATACACATACAATTGCTATAATTATTATTATTAACATACATGAAAACTATGTAATATGAAGCTCAAGAGATTGATATGAAATTTCCATTGTTTTCAGCTATTCTATTCCCCACCACAAACACATGGTGAGGTTAAAATTACCTTATYTCGCCGTGTATAAGTCGACCACACAACTTTCAAGTAATATTTTAGGTTTTATCGTATATCCCTCGTATTAGTCAACAGTTCTTTCTTCAAATTATCTTGTTTGTTTTTTTTGTAAAATCTATCGAAAATCCACCTTTTCTAAGCCAAATTGAACCATGTCATTTCATGAAAACGTTTTTATTTACAAACAGCAACTAATTGTTACAATAAAAATGAACTCTATTTATTTCATATTACTAAGCTAACTATAGACCAAAGCAKAAACTTAGTAACCGTGTGTTTCGCGCRCTCGAAAACGAGGCTTATTATGCAAACTCTTTCCCCGCGGACCGTCTTTGACAGAAAGCATTTTCACACGTTTATCAAGCAATTTTAGTACTTTTTTGAATTAACTAGACCCATGTTTTTACACTTAAGCGTACTTTTTCAATTTCTTCATTAGATAGGAGCGATATTTTTTTCAATTTAGAACTTTTTTAGTGATATTAGCTTTGTTAATATATGCTAATGCATGTAATAATTGTTGTTGTAACCAGATCACAGTAGTATCTCATTACACATCACGTAGCATTCAGCCATTACTACGAACACGTTTTTCATTAGTCGTCGTTTTATAGTTATAGTTTATCGCTTATACTTTATCATCGTTATATATACACTGTATCNGATACAGTGTATATATAACGATGATAAAGTATAAGCGATAAACTATAACTATAAAACGACGACTAATGAAAAACGTGTTCGTAGTAATGGCTGAATGCTACGTGATGTGTAATGAGATACTACTGTGATCTGGTTACAACAACAATTATTACATGCATTAGCATATATTAACAAAGCTAATATCACTAAAAAAGTTCTAAATTGAAAAAAATATCGCTCCTATCTAATGAAGAAATTGAAAAAGTACGCTTAAGTGTAAAAACATGGGTCTAGTTAATTCAAAAAAGTACTAAAATTGCTTGATAAACGTGTGAAAATGCTTTCTGTCAAAGACGGTCTGTGGGGAAAAGTTTTTGCTGAGTTTGCATAATAAGCCTCGTTTTTGAGTGCGCGGAAGACACGGTTACTAAGTTTCTGCTTTGGTCTATGCTATTTACACAGATATTTTAAGGCATCAATTTATTAAAACTATGTTCTCTATAATAAATGTCAATGTTCAAGGTTTAAAATCATTCGAAATCTTCCTCATCACTATCACCAAACAGTTCATTCCACTGATTTTCAGTAAGTCCGTCATGATAAATGTCAATTTCTTCGTTTTGTTCCTCGGTCAATTGTTGTTCGTCCTTGGGTTCATTCCATATCATGTTGTCTTCAGTTCCATCCATGGCGTTTGAGATTCCACACTTCTTGAAGGATCGTTTGACAGTATTATCATTAACATCGGTCCACGAATCACTGACCCAACRACTCACAGTTGACAGTGATGCAGYCTTCATCGCTCCTCCTTTCCTAAAGTGTTTATCGCCTTCAATCATCCAGTCGCACCACTTTTTGCRTAGTTTATCTTTGATAGGCTTGTTGAGGCAGATATCTAATGGCTCGACAAGACTGGTCAGTCCTCCTGGTATAACAGCTATGTCAGTATTGTTTCTTGTCAACTTTTGCTTCACTGCGTCAACTAGGTGGGCRCTAAATGAATCCCATACAAGGAGGCTTTTCTTTCTTAATAAACCACCAGGTCTTTGCACTACTGGAGGAAAATGTGTGAAATAGATGTGAAAAATGTGTGAAAAATTTCACATATTATTTCACATGAAAAACAAGTGAAAAACATGTGAAACTGGCATGTGAAAATACCAAAACATGTGAAACATTCATGTGAAAACCATGTGAATTGATGAGAATCATTTCACATGACACAAACATGTCAAATACTTCATGTGAAATATGTACAAARCATATGAAAAACATGTGAAATTATCAAACACATGTGAAACTTTCATGTGAAAAYCGTGTGAATTGATGAGAATATATATACTGCTTGATTGTCATAATAATATATAATAGATATTATCAAGTGTTGAGTACTTCCCTTATTTTCTCTTAACAGCCATATATTCAATGCATGTTTTGATGTGATGTACATGTACTTATAAAACATTGATCAGAATTGTTCCTGTACTGTTAATCAACTTTATTTTCAATTGTAGAAATTTGGCTCTAGACATATTCTGCTGAAATTTTATTGTAAAGTACCAATATAAAAAAGTTTGATATCAAAACCATACCCATACAGAAATTGTGGTATGTACCAGGTATGTTTCAAGGTATTTCACGACCATTTATATTTACCTCTAACATATTTGATATATACCAATGAAAACCACACACAAAAAAAACATACCTTGAACATACCATATACATAATATATACCATATACATATTAAAAAGTGGTATKTAGAGGGTATGTTTTAGGTACTAAAATTGGTTTGATTTATTCATCGTCCTCATTGTCACTTGGATCTGAATCTGAATTGTTACTTGCTGTGTCTCTTCATATATATCACCATCCTCTTAAGTATTTTTGTTGTCTTCCTTTTTTTATCATTCCACTTGCTGATCTTTGGAGGTTTTTCCAGTTATTTCCATGGTCATTGTATGAGCAATTCCTTTTTGGGCAATTCTGCATGCCATGCGACAAATATCCAGTGACTGCGAGACAGCAGTGGCCTGGTACAACAAGGACAGTGGTATTAAAATTCAGCAACAACCGTTTGAGTATACGATCATTTGAGCGAATTTCGTAAAATAAAGCGCTTTTAGCAGCTAAGACGACATATTCAAGATGCATTTCAGATAAGTAAAACTTTATTTATTATTGGCTATTTTAAATTTGGTTAATTAGACAACCTCTTGACCTTGAAGAACAGCTTTATCAGCTTTGGAAGCTTTCATAATTTTAGTAGCACAATATATCCATCAATTATACCTAAACATTAACAGGTCTTTTCTCTTAAATATATATTCTATATCTATTTTCGAAAAGGCTTTAGATTGCCTACAAAACGAAGTATAATTGTAGCTCATCGTAAATGTATAATCAAATGACACAAGGCAGCCACCAAAACCAAACCAAACCAGAGAGAACCAAATGTTGAGAGTTTGATTATTGCTTTTAAGATCGGATTTTCCAGCTCCTSCGTTGCCACATCGAACATCRTCTTTATCTAATATATTTTCTATTCGATTTCAAGCTTTATACTTGAATGCACAAGAAAAAAACAGAGAGACGGTTTGAATTGAATTCGAGCGCCAAATCAGACAGTAGCTCAGTCATGTGATATAGATACGGTCTCATTGGTCGTTTAAGTCACATTACTAAATATCACGGCACAGGAAACAAAATGGCGCACTGTAGAGAAGAACTCGGTAGCGACGACATTATTCTGGAGCAAACTAAAGCCGAGCAAAATCGAGAATACGCAGCACATGATGAAAAATCAAAATTCTTCATATTTTAACCATTGAGACCCTATTATATACCAAGAATCATGGTGGGGTTTGTTTTCAAAAATTTCATTTTAAACGTGAGAAATTTAGAAAAAAACAGACACTGACTAGAAATGGCTGAAATTGACAAAAACATCGCATGAATATCACTTCTCAGAAACGTCTTATTTGATGAATTTAAAGTAAATAAAAACATCAGTCAACTTCATAATCGTAAATAACAGATAATAATAAACATCTGGATGTAAATTTTGACTTCGCAAGCTCGTTTTTAAAACCATAAAAAACAGTCAAAATGTATACAAGTTTTAGTCTCCTCGCAGCCGTTCTTAGTGGCGGGCTCCCTGTCCCCCGCCCCACAAACGGCTGCTTCAATCCGAGCTTTGATCGTTTCCCTTTGTCTTTTTCCTTCTTGGGGGTCTATTTGAATTAACCAATCACATACCATGACAGTCTACTCCCGCTGTTACCGCTAAGCCAATGAGATGCAGCGTAATGAAAGTTGATATTTTGTTTGCGCCAAACTTCGTAAAACCGTTAAAACTCATCCGAATATATCAAGAAATCAGTCAAGATCTTTTGCTTGTTCTTCCCTGCCGGTTAGCAAAGATAAGTTTTACATCTAGTTTGGGAAAACAAGTACAGATAAAAATAAAATTATATCATTTAAAATTATAAAAAGATTCTTTGCAAGTTNAAACTAAAGCCGAGCAAAATCGAGAATACGCAGCACATGATGAAAAATCAAAATTCTTCATATTTTAACCATTGAGACCCTATTATATACCAAGAATCATGGTGGGGTTTGTTTTCAAAAATTTCATTTTAAACGTGAGAAATTTAGAAAAA